TCTTCCCGAGTGTTTGCGTGTGTTTGCGTGCTATAAGTTTTACAGTTTACAAACTTTGTTTACAAAACAAATGAGTTTCGATTTTAGATGAGATTTTCGTTTTTAATACAAGTTCTAGTAAAAATGAATCAGAGTAATAGTATCAGTAGTAGTAGTAGTAGTAGTAGTAGTAGTAGTAGTAGTCATCGTTGTATTAGTAAAAAAAAAAAGGACGTAATACATTCGTATAGGGAAATTACATGTACAATATTAGGTAAAGTTGGATAAAGTTAGGTTGGGTTAGCTTAGGTTGAATTGCATTGGGTTAGGTTGGACTATATATGGTAAATTACATTAGATTAAGTTGGGTTAGATTAAGCTATGTAAAGTGAAGTGAAGTTAGGTAGGATTAGCTTATGTTTGATTAGGTTAAGTTAGATTACCTTAGACTAGAGAAGCTAAGTAGCATTAGGTTAGGTTGGGTTAAATTAGGCTAATTTGGTTTGTCTTTGATTACGTTATGCTGTGCAGTTCTAGATTAGATCAGGTTAAGTTGTATTAGATTAGGTTAGCTAAGGTTTTATATTAGTGTGTGCTCTGAGAGAACTATCTTGTAACACAATACATAATTTCAACTAGTTACAATCAACCAAATCAACCCACAAAATTTGGTTGCGTCTGGATCCATTTATCAATAAAGGAATTGATTCGCGATTGATCCAATTTGACCTTCAAATCAAAATATAACCAAAGTGGGTTCACCCTTGGAAAGTTCAAAATTATTGATTGCACAGCTGAGTCTCCAATTGTGGGAAATATTTTTAATAATAATAATAATAATATATATATATATATATATATATATATATATATATATATATATATATATATATATATATATATATATATATATATATATATATATATATACAAAAAGTAAATATCAAAAACACATCTCTCATAAATAACAAAAATAGCAGGAAAACAAACACTGAACGAAATATAAGAACCAAACTTTACACTTAATCATAAACCCCCAAATAATAATAATAATAAATATAATATAAAAATAGCACCATTTCCCGCCAAACGACTGTCGGTCACTCGCTAGCGCCACTAGTCACCACGAGCACACTTCCAGACGTACTGAGATCAAGAGAGAGAGGGAGAGCATGTCATAGTGGTTTCTCTCTCTCCAAAGGCTCCTCCCTCACACTCTGGTTTGTCATCGAGAACGCTTCACCTCTTACCCCTTCACCTCAATCCTTTTCCCCTCCCCTACATCGATCCCTTTATCCCTTCACCTCAATTCTTTTCCCCCCTGCACCTCAAACCTTTCCTCTCCCCTGCGTTAATTTCTATTCCCCTCCCCTAAATAAATTCCTCAACCCCACAGCCTCAATATCTTCCCCTCCCCTACGTCAAAGCCTTATCCCCTCCCCTGTATAAATTCCTCAACCCTATAACCTTAAAATCTTCCCTCTCCTATATCAAGTCCTCTACCCCTTCACCTCAATTCCTTTCCCTCCCCTAGAACACTTTCTTTACCCCTTCACCAAAAACTCTTCCCCTCCCTTACATAAATTCCTCAATCTCTTCTCTCCCCTATATCAATTCCTCAACCCCTTTACCTCAAACTCTTCCCTCCTCTATGTCAATTCCTCAACCCCTTCACCTCAAACTCATCCCTCCCTTATATAAATTTCTCAACCCCTTCACCTCAATCTCTACCCATCCCCTACATCAATTCCCCTGCCCCTTCACCTATATATTTTCCCCTCCCCTATACAATTCCTATATTCTAACCTTACCCACTACAATTTATCCAATTTAACCTTTCCCAACCCAATATCTCTATTCTAACTATTACCCTCTACAATATATCTATTACAACCTTTCCCAATAAAAGGGCTCTGTTCTAACCTCCCACTACAATATCTCCATTCTAACCTTTCCCCTGCAGTGTCTATTCTCAATTACCTCCTACAATGTCTATTCTAACCTTCTCCTTTACACTGTAACTATTCTAACCTTCCAACACCTACAATGCCTCTATTCGAATCTTTCCCTCCCTAACAACTCTATTCTACCTCCCCCTCCCATACAGTGTCACTCTACTAACCTTCCCACCTCTAAATGTCTCTATTCCAGAACATGACCTCTGACCTTTACCCAAATCCTTTTTCGTTGTAAATGAATTCCAGACAGCACTTTTATCACGTCATTCCAAAACTCTCCTCTACCATAAATATGCATTTTTCAGCACTCAATCGAGAAGTGACAAACCCTTGTTCAACCTTGATTCCCCAGCTCTAACTAGTCTGTGTTCACCCCCATTCGGATGGAGGTTAATAGTGACATTTGTAACGGCAAACAACTCCACCCATTATTCCAGCACTCTCCTCCAACATAAATATGCATCTTACAATCCTGAGTAAATTGATGATATATTACACCAAAATTAATAGTGATCATTAAGTAAATAACTTTTATTACTTAATTACATTATGTTTCGCTATATTAATACGTGTAATTAAATTACTGGAAGTCATTAACTATAAAAAATTAACTTAACCTAACCTCGAAAGGCGTTACTTTTAGAGAGAGAGATTTCTATAACTGTCTGGCTATGCTTTTGGAATAAATTACAACTTGCACTTTTCTGCTTAATAGTATTAAGTAAATATTTAAATAAATTCATTAATGACTAAAAAGACCCCTCAGACTAAACACAAAAACATATCTGGTACGTGCGCCCACACACACACACACACACGTAAGACGTAATTATCACTAAGAGATATTACAATTATAAGTCAATATTATTTTTTTACTGATATACAAGAAGCTACCTATCCGTGCCTATCCCACATCACTGATATACAAGAAGCTCCCTATCCGTGCCTATCCCACATCAAACATATATTACGGTCTATTCACATAAACCACAACATGGTCTATCCCACATCAACCAAAATCAGCCTAGTTCTAGCCACACCAACCTAGACTTCAATTCCACAATCACAGCTACCAGTAAGCACACATTCAACCCCCCTCCCCATCCTCAGACGAAACCAGTACTTTAATTCCTTACCTCCATCTATAAAACCATCTCCATTCCAAATCCCCATTACCAATATATTTCGCTACTCTAATCACCCCATTACATAACCCATTTTCAATTCAAAATCGCCCCCTTTACCAATTACTTTCACCATTCCAAATTACTCAATGACTAATCCCATTCTCCATTCCAAATCCCCAATTACCTAACCTATTCTCCATTACCAATCCCATTCTTCATTCCAAATCCACCAACATTAATCCCATTCTCCATTTAAATTCCATCCTCAATGACCAAGCCCATTTTTCATTCCAAATCCTAAATCACCAATTCCATTAGCCATTCCAAACTCCATTTTACAATCCCATTTTTAATTTCAAATCCCCAATCCCACTCACAATTCCAAATTCTCCCTTACAATCCCATTCTTACTTCCAAATCCCCCATTACCAACCCCATTCTCCATTCCAAACCACCATTACTAATCCAGTTCACCATTCCAATTCCCCCTTTGGCATCCCATTCTCCATTCCAAATCCTCTAATATTAATCCTATTCTTCATTCCAAATATCCCATTACCAACCCCATTTTCCATTCCAAATCTCCCATTGCCAATTCAATTTCCCATTCCAAATCCCCATTACCAATTCAATTCTCCATTCCAATTCCCGATAATTATTGCTATTCTCCATTCCAACCCCCCATTAACCATCCCATTCTCAAGAGCTGACTGCACCTCCTTAGAGCTCTCAACTCCTCCACCCATTCAAGATCCTTGTCTCGACACCTTCTATCCGCCCATTCTTCTTTCTCTCTCTCTTTATTAACCTCCAATCAACGCCCACGCCCAAAGCCATTCCGCTATTTCACCAGATCTTTTCAATGCGGATAAATTCTCTCTCTCTCTCTCTCTCTCTCTCTCTCTCTCTCTCTCTCTCTCTCTCTCTCTCAGTAAGAGAAAATATACACACACATGCACAAACACACCTGATATATTTCGTCATTTTATTGGCCTAGTCTATACACAAGGAAAAAATAAAACAAATAACTAATTTAAAAGGTTATTCTGTAATTAAGTAAATAGCTAATTTCTGCGTTAAATATGTAAATAAATAGTACATAACAGCCCTTACATCTCCATACGATAATTAGTCTAACAACCCAACAACAACCATAACTACAATTCACCCCCCCCCCCCGCAAACATTTACCATCAATAAATGTCCAATTCAACAATCCTAAACTTCCACCCCCCCCCATCTCTCCCTCCCTCCCTAGAGCATTGTATACAATGTACAATCTCCTGAACACACATTATTCATCTTCAAGGCCAATCGATACAAGCTACAAACCACAATATCTATTTATTATAGTTATTTATTTATTTTTTGTTTATTTGTTTACTTATAGGTTTGTTTTAATTTTATATATAAACTGTATACTCTCAACAACACGTGTCAGAAGACCTTGCTTTATAACGATGGGAAATGGTGATATTATTATTATTATTATTATTTTTATAATTATTAACATTATTATTATTAGTTATTATTATTATTATTATTATTATTATTATTACTTTAAAGTTTATGTTTAAAACTCCCCTAATACTGGCACGTTTTGGAAGAAAGAAAGCAGAAATTAGGATAAGTGCGTTTACCAAATAATTACTAAGTTAATTAATTTAAAAAAATGTAGCACATTTTTGTTTCACCGTCTGTCACACGAAAGTCTTCTTGTGGTTTCAATAACATGAACGAGTGTTGCTCAAGGTATCCTGTCATTCAAAAAAGTCAGCCGGTCGCTTCCCTATCACTTTTAGGCAACTCCTACAACACTTGGCATATGAAAGTATTTCTTTCATTCCCACCACCATGTCAAAACTAATCCCCATTTAAATGGGGGTGGACAAATACATGTTGGAGCCGGGGGATTAAACCTGGAAGCCCTTCCTAACGCCCCACAGTGGGATCGAACCCACGTTCGTCGTTTTCCGAATCGCACGCTCTACCACTGAGCTAACTAGGCCTCAATTTACAATATAAAGCGTTCCAGACACAGAAAGGATTAAAATATACTTGGTGCCGATTGCGAAAACGGAACAATGGTAAGGATATGTGTCAGGAAGAGCATCCATCTTTAAAGTTGTAAGCCAAAACCGAAAATAGTCTCAATGAGGGTGGTGAGAAACAGTGACCCCATATGAAAATCATGAGTTCAAGATGTCTCCACGAGAAGACAAGTGATAATCTTCTTACAAGAAGGTATCATTTCTTCTTCTTCTTCTTGACCTGGAACGGCCTCTTCCGATCACGTGGCCGTTCAAGAGTTCTTTAATTCCTTCGGTTTGTTTTTCGGATCATCATATTTCTGTCTGTTTTATCAAAATCTGAATTCGGTCTGCTCATAGGAATTAGATTTCGGTCTGTGTACCAGAATCAGATTTCGGTCTGCATATGAAAATCAGATTTTGGTCTGTATATCAGAATCGGCCATCTATCACAATCAGATTTCAATATCTTTATCACAAACAGGTGTCGGTCAACTTATATGAATACGATAAACACACTAAAATGTGATTCTGAGTTCAGTGCGCTTATCAGAATCTGATTTTTTATTCATATTAAAGCTATAAAAATTTACGGGAACTTCAAAATAAATATTACAGTTTTAATTAAACAGAAAGTGTATTGTAGGAGCAATACTCGTATATCACTTTCTCAAAATGTATGGAGACACATGCACGCACACACACACACACACGCAGCTCACTTGGTTAATTGCAATAGTACTTATGTTTTTCTAAATTAAAAATCAATTACAAAAAATCCTTACCAGTCAAAAAAAAAAAAAAAAACTAGAAAACATCCATGAATGAGCAACTCCATACAACAGTAAAAAGAAAAATTAGTTCATCAAACACATATTCAGCAACGACTTCCTATCTCAGATGACTAATCATTTTTTAAAAGATCTCAAAAACTTTCAAGAATTGCAAAATCCATGGAATGATTAAAAAAAAATATATAAGTTCTCGACAGTACTTCATATTAATGCACTAAAAAATTTAATAATCACCACATTGCACAAAATTAAACTACCTTTATTCTTCATGCTAGACACTACATATAAATCAGTTCTGCAAGACCTCTTTTTCCCATAACATTGACACATCAAGATTCAATCAGATGGTTTTTTGATTAGAGATCTCGACTCAGGAGGTGACAGACCCCCTAACGAGTCCACTGCAGGGCGTCGGGGAGGGCATCCAGCCTTAATTCACCAGTTCCAACCCATTTGTGTCCGCCTCCATTCGAATGGAGATTTATATGGACATAAAATGACAAATAACAACATAAGAGTAGTATAAGAAACTTGATGTGGTATGAAAAGCTACGAGACAAAAAATCATAAATATGAAGGTAGAAAGGAGGACTGAGAAAAGAAGTTGACAGACAGTATTAAGCAAGATATGAAAGAGGGGAGATTAGAAGAGGTATAATTTATTCACCAGAAATTATTAGAAGAGAATGGTCAAGTTCATTGATACTATATGAAAGTGGGAAAAACTGTTGATAAAAAAAGATGATATCAATAACTTATCTATTAGTCTGAACCTCTTTTGTTATTGATGTTCTACCTATCACAAACAATCCCCATTCAAACAGGAGTGGACGTGGACAGGTTGGGGCAGAGTCATTAAGGCTAAATGCCCTTCCTAACGACCAACAGTGAGCTTGAATACGGGTCTGTTAACTCCAAAGTCGAGTGCTCTAACCACTACACAAATGCAGTTCCCAAAAGGATTCAGTCATACGACTTACAAAAAGTACAAAATCAGTATCACGAATTCAAAAACACTTTGGCATTTGTACAGCATCTCTTTGCTAGACCATTTTTGACACAAAGATTCAGGCAGAAGGCCTCAATTTATTCGATTTTATTTTTCTCTACCATTATTAACTATAACCCCCGTCAAGTCGATGCGACGGAAGGCAAGGGATACATATAATTTCAGACTAGCACCTTTTGTCTCACAATTCATCCCCATATGAATGGGGGTGGACACAGACACTTCCAGACCATCAGATCAGTATAATAACTCATATATAATGCAATAATGGCCACCATTAATCATGGTTCCTTCTAATGAAACAATATTCTAAATATAAACAACTTACCTGTTTTGAATGTCATGGGTCTCTTTTTCTCACTGTAACGAAATCCAAAACTGAAATAACTTACCTGTTTTGAGTTATCTGCATCACTAATGAGACCTTCGGCCCACTGCAAAGAATTGGAGCCCCCGTACTCCATACCCGATCTACGAAGAGTTCTAACCACCTCACCAGTTTGTAGCACCAATCTGTCCACCTGCTGCTGTGTGGAGCTTAACAAGAAACCCTAATAAAAGAAAGAAAAATATACTATACTCTATAAGTTAAAAAAAAATCAACACAGTTTCTATAAAACTTGATTAAGAAAAATAGTCAAACACATAAAAGTACATGACAGCACTAAATGTATATTTATTACCAATAATAATGCACTTGAAAAGAAATTTACCATATAGGGAATGACATTAGAAAAAGTTAAAGAGTCAACTACAGTATACAATCATATACTGGACCAGCATTATCAGCTAATTAACAGTTCTATAAGACAATGAAATGTTACGTTAAATAATACTATGAAATAAAATTATTATATCGCCTCACTTGTTGCAATCTGAATGCTTGGCCATTTGAGTACTTCATGGGAGAGACATTTCGAAACAGAGTATCTTGTATTCGTCTCATCAAGTTCTCAGTTCTCTCTGGTGCAGTTTTCATACACAGCATTGTGTCATGTAAGGGGAATGGCATGAACTTCACACTATAATTACTGCAGAAGAAAAAACAAAACAAATTTATCTTGTAAGGAATATTTACCCCAGGGAGCTCTAGAATTAGTCATATGTACCATGTCAAGTCGTTTGAGCGAAGATAAGTTGAGAGAAGTATTATGTGCATTTTGAGCGATGACTATTAAGCGATGTCAGTTTGAGCAAACCTCAAACTGTTAGGTTAGGTTTTGTTAGGTTAAAAATTAACCTTCGCTGGTATTACCGTCCCTTCTTAATGTTTCGCTCAAAATGAATGGAACCATATTTACAAGGCAAGTCACCTAACCTAACCTAATATAACCCAACCAATCTAACCTTACCAAACAATTTACAGGATTATTTACTTTTATATGAAGAATAAATAATAAAACACAATTCACGACAGTACAGACACTCCCCAACTTACGAACGAGTTTGGTTCAAGATGTCAGTGCATAAGTTGTGTTTAGGTAAAAAAATAAATAAATACTGTACAGCACATAGGCTAAAGATAGTTAACACTACATAAACCAAAGTATACAGTTTTAATGAATCTTAATCCAGTAATAATTCAGGGAAGTATAGTAATACATACATTAATACATGGGTAGCTAATGGGTAGGTATTTGTTCGTATCTGTGAAAGTATGTAACTTGGTTGTTCGAAAATAGGGGAGCTTCTATACAGCGTTTTGACTTGCATAAAACATCTGGTACATTAACATACTAGACACAAGAAAGAATTGCAATAACAGTACTGTTTGAATAACTGATAAATTTAACCACATTTACCCGAAGACAAACCTGTACTAGAAAGGTCATATATATCTGAATAAAAAAACACAAAAAAAGCATTATGTATAAAGAATGAGTACATTTCAGTGACAAAACAGGAAGGATGGTTTAGGGAAATGATGAGAGAAGCAAAAACTAAGATGGTTTGGGCATGTGCTGTGGAGGGATGAGGGGTATAATGGAAGAAAAATGGTGAGGATATAGCTCCAAGGAGAGAAGGAGAGAGGTAGGCCAAAGAGGAGATTTATGTATGTAATGAGGAAGGACATAAGGGTATGTGGTGTGACAGAGGAGAACACAGAAGATAGGGCAATACGGAGACAACTGATCTGCTATGGTGACCCCAGACGGTAGCTGAAAGATTTGACAATGAATATAGTTTTCAATTCATTTAACAGTAGTTATGGTTTTTAGCCAGTCATACTGTACGTACCTTTGTAATGCATACGCAATATCACTATATCCCTGTAGCGTGATGTTATTTCTATCGTAGCTAATATACTGTAACTTTGAGTTTATTTGTAAAGCTTTGGCCAACAGTCTCGCACCACTGTCCCCCATGTAGTTTCCACTGAAAAGAAAATGAAAATCCATATAAACAGAGGTAAATAGAGCTAGAAAGGGAGTCCTCGAGTTACAATGTTTCGTGGTTACAAAGCATCTCTCATAAATTATTTTGCTTCTTGTTTTATAATATTTGGCTTGGATTATGTCTCCCAAGCATAAAGTAGATTCTTCTTTGAAGAAAAGGAAAACCATCACAATGGAGGTGAAATTAGAGATAGTGCAATGCATGGAAAAGGGTGAAAGTTTGCTACTGCATTACCATAGGTGCTTATCCAGATGTTCCGATATACACTGAAATTTGGGCTACATCACATTTCAGCAACAGAACTCTTGACATAAGTCGAGGACCTCCAGTATACTTACCACAGTTATATGCACTCATTTGCAGAAATGACTTATATGTGAAATTCTTGATCAAAAAAGAAATTACAAATACAAAGGTAACTGACTGCAATACAACAGTTGATTGCTTTAAACACATTAAAGTACTCCAAAACTAACGTACACTCACAATGGAATGCGATATGAATTATAAACATATATATGGAGAACGATATCCAATAACTACCGATACATATACCATGTTTTAGGTAACTGGATAGGCAAGTACTGTAGTACACTCAGGGTAGATGAAAAGATTAGGGTAACTAACCTAATATCTAAATTCTGAAGACAGTGATTGCTTCCAAGCGCATTCAGAAGATTGTGCAAATCGGTCTTGAGCCTCGAGTCGTTTATGGAGAGAGATTCGAGTACGCAGTCTTCCTCCTGCAAAGAACCAAATTGCATTGTGGGTTAATTAG